CTAAAGTGTATTTTTTCCAAAAAAGCTGCGTTTGAAAAACCACTGCGCAAATAGCATGTGACATAAAAAATTGCAACCATCACCATTTCATTCTCAAGGGTCTTTGCTAAAAACATATGTAATGTTTGGGTGTTAGAAGTAGATTTCTAGCAAAAAATACGGATTTAAACTTGTGAACAAAACGTCCCAGAAAATGGTCTTCAAGTGGTTAAAGCACTGTGTAAAATGTCTGTACAACTTGTAATAGTCTATATAAATAATAATGCAATATATATATATATTTGGAGCAGTACACTCCTGACTTCTGTACCTTTAAAAGTATCTAGTACCCTCTGATTACTAAACTGACACAGTCCCAGTAATCTCACAGGAAATCCCTCTGCAATGTTTGTATACAAATAACAATGGCAAGGTGTGTGTGTGAATTCTTGCAATCAGGAACTCTGCTTTTCTTGATCCCCATGTGCTTTTATCAGGCTGGAATCTCCTGACCCCCCCCCCCCTTCCTGGTCTGATCACATGACATATGCTGAACACTGGGCCAGGGTAACCAGGCAACAGTTGCCGGGGCGATGGAACAAACACACAATGATCACATGATCAGGGATGCTTTGCATTGTCCTGTGTGCCCCGGGGAGCTGCACTTGCTGCATGAAGGAAGGTTTGTATAGATTGTGATGATGGGGAGAGCTGAGCACTGCTATGTACTACAAATCCCAGCATTTCCCTAACAAGACAGGGCTGAGCACTGGCAGCATGCCGTGACTGGAGGCAGGCTGTCTCTGGCTCTTTAATTTGGAGAGGAATGGTGGTGAGGTTGGTGTTTGTGGAAGTGAAGTGCCTCCAGGCCTGCACTCATGTACTCTGCAATGTTTGATTGGTTCACACCTGGCATTCCGTAAACGTGCATTTCCATGCTACATGCAAAGGACAGCCCATTCATTTCAGGGGACTACCCTACACATGACAAATGCACCAAAGAAACTCATGCACCTTGTCTAGGCTTTAAGGTTTGCGTATTTTTTATTTGCATGTTTTGACTGTCACAAAACTGCATATCTGCATACCACATATGGGATGCCAATGGTATCACAAGCATGACATGGAATGCTCAGGTGTGAGTGCAGCCTTGGGGCTCATTCACACCATCTGCATAGATCAAGGCAAAGGGGCATGAAAAACAACTGTCTTGTCTATGCCCTGTTCACACAACGCAGAGGTGACTGCAAAAACATGGAGCATGTCTGTGTGTTTACATGTCACTTCCTGTCACTCCAGTGCGTCACAACATACTGTGGCGCATAGACATGAAGTGTCATTTTGTGACACTAATAAAGTTAATAAATAAACGTAAATGGTGTGATGTATTGTAGCAACCCATCACACCACCCCTACGTTAGCAGCACACATGCAATTCAGCATACAGGCTGGTGTGAATGAGCCCTTAGGCCTGGTTCACACCTATGCAAGCTGTGGTTGATGCGTTTTTTTTCCAGTGCATTTTGTGTTTTTGAAGTGTTTATAATGTGTTTTTGGGAGGTGTCTGCTGTCTTGCTGGAGAAACCAGCAAAAACGCAGCAGAAAGCATCAAATGTATTTGTGATGTGTTTCCACTGCATTTACATTGAAGTCTATAGAACCAAAAACACAACCTGCTGCTGAAAAAAAAGTCCCTGACCCTTTCCAAAAAACGCACCGGTGGAAAACGCATGGATGTGAACGTGACCCATAAGAAACCATGTTAAATGGATTGTAGTCCGTTTCTACAAAACTGAAAATGCACTGAAAAATGCATAGGTGTGAACCAGGCCTCAGAAGTGGCCAAAGAGTATCAGACCATTTTTCTTTGTGTGATAGTCCTCACAGGAGAACTATGGAAGCTGCCATTGCTGACATCCTTCTGAAAATGACAGTTGCCTGGCTCTTCAGCTGACCCTCTAGTTTTACTAACTTTTGAGTCACCATCTGGAGTATATATGCAGATCAGAAAAGTCATGGGAAGTCGGTCATTCGTATACTTCTGGTTAATGATGAAAGTATTGAACAAAATGGTTCTGCATTAAAGCCAGGTGACTAGCATTTTATAGCAGGAGAGTGTAGCAGAGATTTCTTCTGTTTCTTATATGAAGGTACATTCCCAACAACTGCTGTGTTACAATGCAATGGCTGGTGTGTGGTAGGATGACAGCAGTGCCAATGCGCCAGTTGCGCCGCATCACACTGTTCACTTTTTTTTAACAAAATTTATTGAAAGGTCACACAGTGACAATTCATTATGTTCTATTGGCCTTCGTGCTGTGTGAGGTGGCAGATTGCCTCACACTGCGCTGGAAAAAAGCATGGCTTGATGCACTTTTTTTTCAGCACACATCACCGCAAGGAGATGGTATGAACCAGTCAGGTAGGAGGCAAGGCATTTTGTCTTTTCTTACAGTGGGACTGTGCTGGAATAGCCACCCAACACAGATCTACTTCACATGGTGTGAATGTACCCTGACAGATCTGCTTTACAGTCCATTCATACCCTAGTGTGTGCACTGAGCTCAGGTAAACATAGGAATTGATGTGCATTGGCATGCTGTGTCTCATTTAACATGCACTGCAATACTTTTCTATTAACTTCAGTCATTTTTAAGGGAAACTTCAACAGTCTGTTTTGACTATTGCGTATAAATGCATTGCAATTCATTTACATGCATTTAGATTGTTACATTTTAAAAGAAGTAGGCCCTGTTCTACTTTTCTTTCAGTTGAGGGCAGCAAACATCAGCATATATATATAATATATATATATATATATATATATATATATATATATATATATACGCTATCTGCCAAACGTATTGGGATGCCTGCCTTTACACGCACATGAACTTTAATGGCATCCCAGTCCATAGGGTTCAATATTGAGTTGGCCCACCCTTTGCAGCTGTAACAGCTTCAACTCTTCTGGGAAGCCTCTCCACAAGGTTTAGGAGTGTGTCTATGGAAATATTTGACCATTCTTCTAGAATCACATTTGTGAGGTCAGGCACTGATGTCGGACGAGAAGACCTGGCTTGCAGTCTCCGCTCTAATTCATCCCAAAGATGTTCTATCAGGTCAGGACTCTATGCAGGCCAGTCAAGTTCCTCCACCCCAAGCTTGTTCATCCATGTCTTTATGGACCTTGCTTTGTGCACTGGTGCGCAGTCATGTTAGAACAGGTAGGAGCCATCCCCAAACTGTTGGGAGCATGAAATTGTCCAAAATGTCTTAGTATGCTGATGCCTTAAGAGTTCCCTTCACTGGAATTAAGGGGCCAAGTCAAACCCCTGAAAAACAACCCCACACCATAATCCCCCTCCACCAAACTTTACACTTGGCACAATGCAGTCAGGCAAGTACTGTTCTCCTGGCAATTGCCAAACACAGACACATCCATAGGATTGCCAGACAGAGAAGCGTGATTGTTCACTCCAGAAAACAAGTCTCCACTGTTCTAGAGTCCAGTGGTGGTGTGCTTTACACCACTGCATCCGACGCTTTGCATTGCACTTGGAGATGTAAGGCTTGGACGCAGCTGCTTGGCAATGGAAACCCATTCCATGAAGGCCACAAAAAATTTGGAGGTCTTTAGCTATTGAATCTGCAGACAGTTGGCGACATCTGCACACTGCGCTTCAGCATGTGTTGGCCTCGCTCTGTCATTTTACGTGGCCTACCACTTCGTGGCTGAGTTGCTGTTGTACCCAGTTGCTTCCACTTTGTTATAATACCACTAACAGTTGACTGTGGAATATTTAGTAGCAAGGAAATTTCATGGATGGACTTATTGCACAGGTGGCATCCTATCACGGTACCATGCTTGAATTCACTGAGTTCCTGCTGAGAGACCCATTCTTTCATAAGTGTTTGTTGAAGCAGTATGCATGCCTAGGTGCTTGATTTTATACACCTTTGGCCATGGAGGGGATTGGACCATCTGAATCTAATGATTTGGAGGGGTGTCCCAATACTTTTGGCAATATAGCGTATATATATATATATATATATATATATATATCTTTTACTATGTATATGAGTCTGGTGTGAATTCAACCTTAAAATCACTAGGATGGGGGGATTTATAAAAAAACTGGAGCAGCTGTGCATGGCAACCAATCAGCTTCTATCTTCAGCATCTTAGTTATAGCAGAAGTAAACCCATTGATTTAGCGGTTTCTCAAAATAGTTATATTCAAGGTATTCTGTGAATGATAACTGACTGTCAAAGTTGCTTGTGTTCTCAACTGAACTGTCAAGCCATTAAATGTCTGGTGTCATAGCTGATCATATGTGCAGCACAATGGCAGCTGCACATTAAACAGAGGCTAAGCTGGCAGCTTCCTTTGCTGAAAAGTATAGGAGGGTTTAAATCCACTTTACTCTTTGAAAAGTAAAGGTAGAAGCTGATTGGTTGCATTAACAGCTGCTCCACTAATTCCCCTCAGTGTATTATTCCATATGAGTAGTATGCAATACCCTGAGCTATGATATTACTAGTTCTGGTGAAATGACAGTCTGATAATGGTTTAGGTCTATTATTTACATTGTGAGATGACAAGTAGACTGTGGGGTATACACTTATGGTAAAATGAATGCTCAAGGCTAGATTTTCATCATTGGAGCCTATAGGCAAATCCATTTCAAAATTTTAGATTGAAGCTGTTGTATACAGTATGATTGCAGGTTTGGATGTGATTAATGACTATATGACAGTTCACATGGTTCTTCTCTCAGACATGGACACATGGTGAGTAGTTTGGATTTTTATGGTAGTCTTTCTGTCTTTAGAAAATATTATGGCCATTTTACAAAAAATTGTAGTGAAAAAAAAATAATAGAAAAAAAGCAAATTAGTTTCCAAGTGAATTTCCACTCTCAAATACAAAGAGGCATCCCATTTATTATAAGAGCAACAGCTCCACTTTTGTTCTGGACTTCTTTGCTTCTGCTTCTCTACAGCAATGAACTAGTTGGCTGTACATGTTTTGATTGTCCCCAGAGAGCGGAGAATGGAGAACTTGAGTTCTGAGCCTCTGCCCCGGAAACAAGAAGGAGACATCTTATATGCAATCACCCAGTTATTGGGTTTCCCAGACAAAGTAGAGGGTGAAAAATGTGAACTTGCAGGTAAGCCTTAAAATATTGTTAATTTTTCTTATTAATTTTATCGTCTATCTGATCATGTATATCAGATATATCCACACATACTGTACATCTGTGTTCAGAAAATGCTGTCAAGCCTAATAATTTTGTAGTTTTATAAAGTTATGACAAAATAGAAAAAACTTTTTAGAAGATAATCAATGAACCTTTTTTTCTATTAGTAACCTAAAGCGTCAATAAATCCACGATTAAATTAAATTAATTAAAAACTAGCAGTAAATGCTATATTGCATGCTGTTCATACTCATTATGGGATTCATTTTCTGCATTCTGCAAAAAAACTGGTTGATCCTGCTGTTCTTTGTGTCCCCCTCTTGTTCCATGTCCCCACTGCAGTTGGGGATTTTGCAGAGCAGTGTTTGCAGCTAGTGCACATGCTAAATTTTCAGTGTATTTCCAGCTTGAGTATTTCTTCCAAGTCACATTTAAGTAGCCCTCCTCCTCCATGCCTACTAACCACCTAAACACAATGTTGGTTGGATATTACAACTTGATTGACAGAGGCTTCACCTCCCTGGTATTCTAATATAGACTGGAGGGGTATGCCACAGCCTGTGACTGGCAGAAATCCACCCACACCATGTTATTGCCAAAAAATAATAAAGATTTTATTTCAAATATGTATTTGTATGACAAGTTAAAACAGTCTATTGTTATTATGTCTTTATTTTTACTCTGTATCCAAAAGGCTGTTTTTTTTTTTTTAATTTTGAACATGTGACCAGCAGCAGAGGACTTAAAGCTCCTCCTTTCACTGTTTCCCTGCAGACAGGCAGGGAAAGAGCTGGGTCATGTGACAGCTGTATATCAGTTAGGAAAAAGGTACTTAGATGTTTCTCTTTATTAAAATTATTACGGTGTCATCATTCACATACAAAAAAATAAGGGATAATGTAAATTAAATAGTGTGCATTTAGTATCACTTTAATAACTACCATATTTGCCGGCGTATAAGACGACTTTTTAACCCATGAAAATCTTCTGAAAAGTAGGGGGTCGTCTTATACGCCGGTATACGGCGAGCCGGTGTCAGGGCGGCACTTTTTCGAGGGGCGGCGCGGTGGCGGAAGGGACACTAAGTACAGGGGCGGGCAGGGGGCTGCTGTACCTTACCTGGCTCCGGTCCTGGTCCCACGGCGATCCGGTCCAGGAAGCGCGACTGCTCCTTCTTTCAGTTCGGCCGCTCGATGGTCGCGCGGCCGCTTGGCTCCGCCTCCTCACCGGTGATTGGGCGCCAGCACTGGAAAGGCACACAGGCGACCAATCACCGGCGAGGAGGCGGAGCCGAGCGGCCCCGCGAAAATCGAGTGAGGGAGCGGCCAGTAAGTGTGCAGCAGCACCATGCTGTGACACTCTTGGCACTATTCCTCTCCCCCACTGACACTAACGATGGGGCACTGTTCCTCCCGCACTGACACCAACGATGAGGCACTGTTCCTCCCCCACTGACACCAACGATGAGGCACTGTTCCTCCCCCACTGACACCAACGATGGGGCACTATTCCTCCCCCACTGACACCAAAGATGGGGCACTATTCCTCCTCCCCAATGACACCAACGATGGGGCACTATTCCCCCCCACTCACACCAACGATGAGGCACTATTCCTCCCCCCACTGATACCAACGATGAGGCGCTATTCCTCCTCCACACTGACACCAATGATGGGGCACTATTCCACCCCCCCCCACTGACACCAATGATGGGGCACTATTCTCGCCACTGATACCAATGATGGGGCACTTTTCCTGCCACTGATACCAACGATGGGGCACTATTCCTTCCACTGATACCAATGATGGGGCGCTATTCCTCCCACTGACACCAATGATGGGGCGCAATTCCTGCCACTGATACCAATGATGGGGCGCTATTCCTCCCACTGACACCAATGATGGAGCACTATTCCTCCCACTGACTAATGATGGGGCACTATTCCTCCCACTGACACTAATGATGGGACACTATTCCTCACACACTGACACTAATGATGGGGCACCATCATTGGTGTCAGTGGGAGGAATAGTGTCCCATCATTGGTATCAGTGGGAGGAATAGTGCCCCATCATTGGTGTCAGTGGATGAAATAGTGCCCCATCATTGGTGTCAGTGGGAGGAGTAGTGCCTCATCATTGGTATCAGTGGGAGGAATAGTGCCCCATCATTGGTGTCAGAGCAAGGAATAGTGCCCCATCATTGGTGTCAGTGGGAGGAATAGCACCCCATCATTGGAATACCATACTGAAATAGCATACCATATTGAAATCTAATCTGATGTTTTTTCATTTTTATTTGGTGTGTGTTGGAAGAGGGGTAGTCTTATACGGCGAGTATAGCTCAAACCCTATATTTTAACAGGAAAAGTAGGGGGTTGTCTTATACGCCCAGTTGTCTTATACGCCGGCAAATACGGTAATAATAATAATAATAACTTTTAATAACTATAAATATTAATAACTATTAATTGGTAGTAATTATTTAGTAACTTATTAACTTAAGGAATTAAATGATACCAGGCATGATAATCAAAATATGGAACAGGGAAGGGAGGGCTTAGAGTGGTTGTTGCTGGTGTCTTTGTCTTCCATGTACGCATAAACTTCCCCATTACATTTATTTTCTCTGCACAATAATAACATGATGATAAAAAAAATCATGCCACAGATCTTTTACATTCCATGTACAAGATCTAACTTCATTCCATAACACACTATAAAAAAAGACTGTACTCACACTGAGGGTAGTGGTGTATTTAGGTTTTGGGCTGCCTTAGGCAACACAAAAATTGGGCGCCCCCCACGGAGAGAGCCTGACATTGACCAACAACACCCCTGCCCTACCACCTGAGAGAGCCTTCCACTAAAACCCCCCCACGGTGAGAGAGAAAGACACCTTCACAGCTCTGGACATCCCCTGGAATGAGTTGGGCTCTCCATACACCATCAAGCAGCCCGCAACCTCTGTCAGATCCCACCTGGTCCCCATGCCACATATGTCCATTCTTCCACCCCTTCTTCCGGGAAAAATGCCACCCTAGGAAATTGCCTTGTTTGCCTTGTGGTAAATACACCCCTGACTGAGGGTCTGGAGAAAACTGCTAACAGAATTTCTTATGCCAGCGTAACGCTTGCTGTCAATCTGTCAGTCAATTTGTTTCTGTGCTGTTGTTCATGTCTATGCTGTAGGGATAATTACAGGATTCAGCATTACTGACCAGACCCATATGTTCTATGTAAAATAATATGTGTGGTTTTACTAATATTGGAATCATGACTGATATGATGATGGCAAATATATCTTTTTTTCTTATTGCTAGGCTATAATCATTCTGAGTTAGTAGAGACTGCAGAACATTACTTAAAAGAGAGAATACAAGAAGGGGATAAAAAGGCAACTTTTCTTCTTGGTCAACTCTATTTTGAAGAGGTAAGACATTTTCTTGTAGTATTATTTTTTATCGCAGAATATATAAGGGTGCGCCATCATTTTAGTAAACTGTATAAGACTAATGTACAGACTTGCAGTGGGTCCAATATTTACAGGTTACCACCAATGTAAAGTGAGTATCACAGTAAGATAAATTAGATGTGGGTCATGGGATGGGTTGGAGTTTATTACGGTTGCAGATCAGTTCAGAACCATAGATTGATTTCCTCTTCTATAACACGCAGAGGCTACAAGATAGAATCCCATACAAAAGTTATCCCATAGCAGCAGTAATGAGAAGTCTTCTGTAATTTGGTAGCTATATCTAGCAATCTCCTCAGTTTTGTAATCACTCATAGTTTAGAAGTATTTTGCTACATGGCCAAAGCGCATTATAGTCTCTTGTAGTTTAGCAGTAATTTCTTACCTGACATTCTGGTCTACCAATCATCTCTGTCTTTAAAGTAACAGTCTGTTGTATCATGCATCAGTCTCTTGTAACTTCATAGCTCTTTCCTGTAATCTAGCAGATTTTCATACTATGATGGTGGTAAAACTAGCTTTGAGGTAGGATTGTGGGTAAAATCTATACGCTGAGTAAAGCTGGCTAAACACGTAAATATTTCATTTGTGCAGCCTGTAGTGAAGAAAAATCAGATTCCTCCATTCACACTAAATATAGCAGATGGATTAATTTCTTACAGTAGCTATTGTATATACCTGAATGGTGTCTGCATCTGATTGGATGCTGGTGCTGTTTGTCCAACAATTTTCCCCCTGGCTCCTTTGATTTTTCCATTGAAGGTTGTCTGGTAGACTGGTGTCAACAGGGCCACCCACTGATCAAATTTTGTCCAGTTTATTGGGAACTGGCCACAATCACTCAGTGTAAGGCCAGCTTTAAACTACAGGTGTAATCAGGTTGAAATGTGGGTTGTGGTTCATGTGTATCTGAGTCTATAGAAACAGTTTGTAGAAGGTCTCAAACAATGGAGGTTCACTGTGCTTCATTTAAACTGATTTACATATATTTTTTGTAGGGGTGGTATGAAGATGCACTGCTGCAGTTTCATAAAGTCAAAGATGATGACTATCAAGCTTTGTATCAGGTTGGGGTGATGTATTATGATGGTCTAGGAATTCAAGAAGATCAGGTGTGTATTGACAGCCCTTTAAAGAGACCCTGTCATCAGACCATTCATTCCAACAAACTAACTATACGATGTGTGCATTTAAAAAAATCTGCCTAGGTGGTGGATCTGTCTGATCTTAATCCCAGTGGAAGCCTGGTTTTAAAATGTTAGACATGCTACAAGGCGCCCCTATCTAGGCAGTATGTTACTTAATATAAAAGCTGACAGCATCGCAAAAAACACAAGTTCAAACTGATGACACGTTTTGACAGCCACAAAGCAAACTATAGTGAAATCCTGGTTGTCCAACTCACTTTTGATGAATAACATTAAAACCTGCCGTCACTGGACTCTTTCTAATGAGAAATTGACAGTAAAACATTCAAATACTATGACTAAGTTTAATAACAACTGGGACCTCTCACTACCTACTGGCAGACTTTGACTGCTGAGTTCTGACTAAAATATTCTAAGGCAAGCTTTTTCAACCAGGGTGACTTCTGGGTTCTCCTTGGCAAAATGCCTAAAAATTGCCCCAAATTGACTAAAAATTGTTAGAAAGCCAGCCAGTGGATCAAGCCTGTCTTTTAGTTACAAAAGTCCACAGCTTTTGTAAAGATGTCCAAAAGCCAGAATCTGCAGCTGGACACTGTCATCATGGATGTCAACAGTTCCAGTAGACTCAAGGCTGGCACTCAAGTCACACTCCCTTTGGTCCTTCCCCAGCAGGCTATGTAGGGAGTAGAGGTGGAAACTACTCTTGTCCCTGAGCTTCTTCTCCACTCCAAGCCCCCTCCTTACACACCTGAACACTCCCAGAAGAGGAGAGGGCTTTCAAATATGCTAGCAAGTTCAAAGGCACATTGCAAGTTAATAAATTGTTTATTAAATGGCAAAAATGCTTGATTTTTGTTTGCACTTTAAATTGGTTATAGGGCCTCTATAATATGTATAATAATAGTAAGATTAAAATGACAATTCCTTGAATTCTGTGATTGATAAGCTCTTGTGCAAGTTTAGGGTTGGCATTTATTTGTCAGTAGGTGGAATTATTGTGAGAGTACACTAAAATATGGGCTTATTTTACAGGGGTAGATATAACACAGAATGACTTGTCAGTAGCTTGTTATATTACTAAAGCTCTGGTGGTCAACCTATGGTCCTTTGGTGCTTACTGTGTGGCCCTTGAGGCCCCCCCACCCCAGACATAGTTTCATAGTTAGTCTGGCTGAAAAAAGACAAAAGTCCATCTACTGTAGTTCAACCATTAAAAAAAAAAAAAAAAAAAAAAAAGTTATAATCCTATACCTACAGTTGATCCAGAGGAAGGCAAAAAAAAACCTAGCAAAGCCTGATTCGATTTGCTCCTGCAGGGGAAAAAAGTCCTCCTGATCACCCGAGAGGCAATCGGATGTTCCCTGGATTAACTTTACCTATAAATGTTATCCAGTTATATTATGGAATATAAGAAAGAATCCAGACCTTTTTTGAAGCAATCCACTGAACTGGCCAGAACCAACTCTTGAGGGAGTCTACTCCACATTTTCACAGCTTTCACTGTGAAGAAACCTTTTCCATATTTGGAGGTTAAATCTCTTTTCCTCCAGACGTAAAGAGTGCCCCTTGTCCTTTGTAATGACCTAAGGGTGTGTAGTCTGTGTTTCCCTTACCAAGTTACTTACTAGGGCTGGTGAAGGAAAATATTCTTCAAACTTCTTTTAGTTATTTACTTGACTTATTTCTTTTACAATGTCTTTCTTTTTCCTGTGTTGTCTGTCCCTTTCCTCTTTTCATTTTTTTCTGATCTTTTATAAAGGATCTTGCTGAGAGAAATTTCAAATGTGTTAAAAAGTTATTTTTAACAGGGCTGTAGGGAGCACAAATGTGGAAACATTTTTTGTACAGGCACTGATCTCTAGCAGCCTCCTGTGATTTCAGTCTATGACCGTCCCATATAGCATGTCCCCAGTCTCCATCAGCTTTCTGTAGCATTCCATTCACTATATAATATGAAGGGCCCTTTGATGATATCAGGGGCAGCACTTGATGAACCCTATATCAAGAGAGTTGACCAGCTCTATGTTAGCCTAGGTTAGTGATGGCGAACCTTTTTGAGTCCAAGAGCCCAAACTACAAAAAAAAACAACATATTTATTTGAAAGTGCCAACACTATAAATAAACCTAAATACTGAGGTTTTAGTTTATAAAAAACAACTCATACAGTTGTCTGAACTAAATTAACATCCTTTGTCTTAAAAGAAAACACAATACATTTTGTGGTTGGTGTCAAAGTGCCTTCTGACACTTAATGTGTGAAACACAACACTTTCACTAAGCAGAATACATAACGCTTTCCCAATGCGTCCAATCACTCCAAATGACTCTGTCTAGGCCTCTTCGAATGATCTTCAACCATCTGTTTTCAGTTTTGTTTTTTTTTTTATGTGCTCATTTTTTGTTGTTCAACACCTGGAATTTAGAAAAACACAAACATTTAAAAAAAATTTTGTTAACCCTACCCATATAAGATATGTCTGTAAATGTTCTCAAAATATGGCTATATACAAGTCTGTACGAAAGCAACTTGCATTTTTGTAGACAGGTATAGGCATAGCCATAGTCCAACGTCCTGTGGAACAACAAGGCACGCCGTGCCCGGGTTAGAAATCCTCATGGATACCGCTGTGCTGCAGGTGACACTGCTCTGCTGGGTCTGGAAGCCCGCTGTGTGTGTGAAGGATCCAGAAGAGAGGGCTGGAACGCTCAGGTGTCAGGCATGATAACGTCATTGGATGAGCCACGACTTGGTTCCGAGAATATGCATTGGCGATGGCTGCTGGGGGGTAGCGATCTGCTCGTGTTCCCACAGAAAGGGTTCTGTGTGCCTGCTGTGGCGTACGTGCCATAGGTTCGCCATCGCTGGCCTAGGTTCACATTTGCCCACATGTGAGCCGCAACCAAATCGCACTACTCTATAGAGACACACAGGGCTGCCATGCATTCTTAATGGTACCCCTATGCATCTCACCCCGCTGCAAATTTGCAAGTGTGGGAACCGCAGGAAAATTTGCATGGTCTAAAGCACCATGTGATTTCCCTGCGGCCACATTTTGAAATAGACGCATACATCTTTTTCTGCAGGAAATGCGGGCACAGCAGCCCATTCAAATGAATGGGCTGCCATGCCCACGCAAACGCGGGTTGCACAACCCGTAAAAGTGTGAACCTAGGTTCAAAGTCATATAATTACCCAGGGACAATACTGCCATCTATTGAATGCATGTGCTATTTAAAGTGTTACTAAAGGTATTTTTTTTTATTTAAATAACAAAGATGTTACACTTGTAACGTACATGTGACATGATGTAACGTGCATGTGACATAAATGTACAGATTTGAGTAGATGCGATCAGTAACAATATGTAAGGGCATTCCATTGTCATTAGGGATGTATATTCAGTCAGAGGTACTCAGACACAGAGGCATCAATAAAGGCTGAAAAGCCCGGCTTCTGGGATGTGACACCTTTGTGTTAATAAGGTTGTCACCTTCTGGTGAAACCGGTTTAAAGGAAGTGGCTCCAGACATTCTGGCTTCATGACAGCAGGGAGCTAAAGGTATATCCATCCATCAAAAGGGGTATGTTTAATTTCCCATAAAAGCTAAAATATTAGTTGCAGAGAGATGAACATACTCCCTTCTATTTGGGCACTCTGTAGGCTACATCTGCATATAAAAACCATATTTGTGGATTAGGTAGAATGCCAGGAAAATGCAGGGAATGGTTAGGTGGCGCTGGATTGCGACAGTCAAATGGTGTTTGGTACTGTCACGATCGGACTGATGCGCTGGTATCGGAAATCCATTCCCCGACTTGGTGTTTCAAGCCGGTCTTAGTGCAATGAACTTGGGCAGTTTAGCATCCAGAACATCCTGTGGGCAGGTACAGGAGCAGCCCCCCATGGTCAATCCCCATAAAAGGAGTACCTGGGCATTGGGACATTTGTGATTCGTATGGAGCCAGTTCGATTTGACTGACGGATTGCTGACGCTCTGACTTGCTCCAGTCGCAGGATAGATCTTGGTAAAAGTTTTATCTCTGTTTTTTATTCCCTTTTATTTTATAGTGAATAGTCATTTGTGTCTCTTCTTGTATTTTTTGTATTTCTGTAACTTTTTATATTTTGTACATATTTTATGCACTGCCCACTTTCAGGAAATTAAATCTTAAAATTAATTAGTGACTTCTGTGTATTTAAGCACGTGCTCATATCTTCAGAGAGATTAGATTGGAGAGATTAGATTGGATTAGATTGTATCGTATTTTAGTGCCTTTAAACGCTCGGTAAACTTCATTACCAATCTGTATGCAATTGCACTGTGTGTGGGCAGATTGCGGGCAGATTGTAAAAGGTAACAGATTGGCCAAACAGAGATCTGTGTGTGTGGGGTGTCCCAGCAGACCATTCTGTGGATAAAAATAAACCATATAAATGCTGCGCTACATTCAAACTTATTAAGTGAATGTGGAATCCAATGACACAAATCTAATATTGTGACAATAATAATGAAATAAATAATACGTGCTTACTGATAACAAAATTATCAAATAAAACACCCAAAAAGATGAAAAAAACACAAACTTAAATCTATACGCATGTGCATGTGCATGAAAATACACATACATATAATTACATCACACGTGCAAATGTGAAGTGAAATAATGGTTACTTATTAAACGCAAACAAAAAGTCCAATATAAAAATGTTGAAGGTGAACAAAACTGTAAACGGTGTTTCCAATAATACTGTAAAGTGACCACAAGTGAAAACAAATCGTGCAGGTATCTGGGTGTAGATAGAGCTTGTGAATCCAACCACCTTCTGGATTAGCCTCTCACCTCATCACTTCGACCCTTGCGGATCAAAGAGCAATAATGGATCCCTCTCACAGATCCTCCAGGCACCACAGCACTCCAAAAACGCTTTTCAGGATTTAATATTCCCACTCAAGCTCTTCT